ATAATGAATGGCTGCGCTGGAAACGCTCTGCTGTGGGCTGGGTGAGCAGATTCAGAATCAAGCCCTGTGAGACGTGTACCACGAGAGGGGCAGGATAGAATGTTATTACACTATTCACTGAATCTCATCATCAAATCATTTGTCACCAAAGCACATATTGCCAGTGGATTACAGCAGTGGCCACAGGTCGTGTGAATGTGTGGTTAGTCAACCCTGCCAAGCAAGAAATGTGCTTCTGCGGCTCAGTATTACTTTAAGATTGAGGATGGGAATAGGACAGATAACATATGCCATATAACCTCTCCACACCAAACACAGCGCTCACATAGGAGATTACGAAAATGTTTAAATTAGAGAGACTATAGAATATAGTTGCATGATATATCCAGCTTTGAAGGTTGGAGGACTGATGTTGACTGCATAACCGATGTCATGTGTCTGTGGCTACAACACTTGTGCTTGCAAAAATCAATTGCTGGACTGATAGATCACCCAAAAATGAAAATTATGTCATGATGCACTCGCTTTCATGCTATTCCAACCTGTTTGCTGATTTTTGGCCGTGTTCACGCAGCAGCAGTCAATGTGATAAGACTTGTTTATGAATGTCGCCATCTTTGATATGAATTCAGTCACTGTGTCTATGGTTACATCAGGTGATAGTCACAAATAGAATAGAGGCTTGACTTTGGTTACTCGTTCATTCAAGCCAGCATTGTAAGCTGCTGTGTGAACAGGACATTTTGAGACTCACACCTTTTAAGTAATTGACCGAATTTGCCATTTTGTCTGACAAACAAACCAGACAGGAGAGTAGATTAACGTTGTGTTGTGTTGTGTATTGATGTCTCTCCGCGGTTGAAACAACATACCTTCTGATGTTCATTCATATTTATTTTGTGCTATAACTAGTAAAGAGGAAGAGCTGATCGGTTTACTGTTCCAAAAACTGAGTGTGAACGTAGCCAAAAGGGACTTTTCTGCACATTCCCCTCCATTCTGCACATTCAAACTGCTGTGTCCACATTTGGTTACAACACATGCAAGAACTAGTAACATTTGTTGTGCAGTTTTTTGAATCTGAATGTTGACACAAATGAGATTCTGAGATGATTTCAGAGCTTTGGTGGAGAGGAAACATTATTAGTGAATTATGACTAAATTTCAGTCTGTTCCTCACACAAAGTTAACACAAATCGTCATGACAAGTAATCTGCAGGTTGATCGGCTGATTAAAAAAATGACAAAAAGAACCAAAATTGGTCATTAATTGACCATTTCATCAACTCATTATTTATCAGTGCATGTTTGATGTGAAATTGAATTGAATTATTTTTTTTTTTTTTATATAGTATTACCACAAAATATAACAATTGTAAAAACGAAAACAAAAGAATGTGTGTATAAGTCTATTTGGCAACTGTAACATTCTACACTTGGCCCATAAACTTCCACTCGATGTGTATTTCAATCGGCATGTTTTTACATTTACATTTATTTATTCATTTAGCAGAGGCTTTTATCCAATGTGACTTATAAATGAGAAATACAAGCGATTCATTATAAAGAGGCAAATAAACATGAGAAGTGCTCATAATACAATGTTTCAGTACAATGTGAAAAAAGTAGGATGCAGTTAAGTGCTCTCAAAAGAAATGAGTTTTGAATATTGTCAGGGATTCGGCATTCTGGATGGGGTTAGGAAGATCATTCCACCAGGAAGGAACAGTGAACGAAAAGTGAAAAGTGATTTTGTGCCTCCCTATGATGGTACCACAAGGCGTACCGATCTCAGGCTTCTGGAAGGGATGTAGACTCATAAGAACGAGTGGGAGTATTTCTTGATTCATTTTACAAGCTGATAGATTAGTTAAAGTCACCATGAAATTGCCAAATCAACTGTAATAATCTAATTAATTGGGGATGGATAATTAAGTCCCACCCTACATTTTTCTTGGTCAAGAAGCAGTTTCACTTCAATTTATGTCACGATAAGGAAAAAAATATTGCAACTTTCCTTTCATGCTGACTTTAAATTGTTTACTATGGTAGCTGACAATATGCCTTAGATTATATGTAATATTTCTTTAAAGTAGGTCTTTGGTGTTGGAGTATGTCCTTTTTAAAGCAAACAGAGTCTTTTAGCTTTATGTACTCGTTGACCCTGAATCTAAATTTAGCCACTTTTAAGTGGCTACGTTATATATGTCATTTGTGAATCAAAGCCACATGTGAAAACAAATGACCGAAATACCATCAAGTCCACTTTGTAACACTGCAACTTGAGAATCAGGTTGATGTGGACTTTCAAGTGTCACACAGCAGTGAGCCATTCCTTACTCACACACACACACACAGGCTCAATACTTTATCTGATCCAGACTGCAATTGGCCCTGAGCTTTGCAAGCCTCTGCAGCGAAGCCCTTGTTGATTTGACCCGCTTTAATTAAACTCCATACAGTTGTGCTATCTGTGCGTGTGTTTTCATTGAAGATTGCCTTCGAAATGAAATTTTATTGAATAGCTTGTTGAGTCTCATTGAATGCCCTGTCATCTGAGTGTAAACATCCACTGATAGCGGTTATTTCCCTCTGCCGGAGCAGCCGCGTTTGACTGCGTCTTTGTGCAGATACAGTCAAAGATAGAGAAGGACATTATGATGTCATTAGCAGAGCAGCTTTGAGATGTCAGGCCTCCGCTGATAAACACAGGCCAATGTAGAGCACAGCTGGATCTGAGGCCATTAAACTCAAGGAGAAGCACTGTTCTTAGTGTGGTAGCAGAGATGAGAGGGGCTTCTGGGTCGTTTTGTGTGGAGAAGCTGAAGAAGGATAATAAATAGATGAATTAAGATGTTCTGCGCCCCTGGGTGAAAAAAGCCATTAACCCGTTGTGCAGAATTTCGTAGTACCGGGGGTTTCCTTGTGATATTTGCAATGATTAAACTAATCTTGGATGCTGATTGGTCAAAACCGTCATGCTAAAATACTCTATATAGAAACCCTGTTCACCACACCACTGCACCGCACCAGTTGAACAACATGCTGTTATCTTTTATAATATTTTAAAATACACTGTCATTCAAAAGTTTGGGATTGGTATGATTTTGTGAAATTTTTGAAGAAAGCTCTATCACCAAGACTGCATTTATTTGGTCAAAAATACAGTAAAACCAGTAATATTGTGGAATATTACAGTGTAAAATATCTGTTTTCTATATGAATGTATTTTAACGTAATCTATTCATGTGATCGGAAATCACTCTAATATGCTGATTTGGTCCTCAAAAACATTTTCATCAATGTTGAAAACAGCTTCATATTTTCATGGAAACGGTCATAATTTTTTCAGAATTCTTTGACTAATAGAAAGTTAAAAACAATAGAATTTATATTTGAAATAGAAATCTTTTGTGACCTTATACTGTGACTTTTGGTCGATTTAGTGCATCCTCGCTGAATAAAAGTATTAATTTCTTTTAAAAAAAAAACTTTTGAATGGTAGTGTATGTGTATAATATTATTTCATAACATTTTAATGTGTTTCCTCGCTATGTTTATTATGTAGTATTTAAATAGTCATTAAACTTTTAACAGTTTATAATAGTTAAAGATCAATCAAATTAAAGATGCATATACTCTGCCAGCATAGTAATGGATCCTGATTCAATAGATATTTGACAGCAAATGATTTTAACACAGCTGTTCTGCCATGGGCAGTGAGCACTGATACTGTCTAAGAAAATGGATCGCCCAGAAACTCTCCTAATGGCTTTCCTCAGTCACAGTACACCCCCACATTCAGGGACTGGCAGTCATCATGCAATGAATTTTGATTTCAGACATACATGGGCTGATGGTTTTGTGTATATTTGATATTTCCATGGCAAAATTGGAAACAGTATTAAGGGGCCTTTCTTCCATTAATGCTCAGTTCAGCAGAGACACAGCTCTCTACCGCCACCCTGAGCATTGTTGTTGCTGCTACAAGTATTAGTCACTGATCAGAAGTAAGGAGGTATGGACCCTTTGCACATTTCTGGGGTTCTAAGAAGCAGAAGTCATAGGTGGCTAAACTATAGTGGTGAATAGAAACAACCATACATATCATTTTTGTGTTCCCAGCTGCTCCAAAAGCTAAGGATAAAAACAATAATGTTTCTATGACTTTACAAAAAAAAGGAAATTAATTGAGTGATAGACTACGGTGGTCAGAAGAGAGAAAGATGTCAAAATTGCTGTCGCTCTCTAAGCCATTGTATTAAAAAATGAAAATATAAAAAAAACTTTACTGTAAATGTTAATAACTGTTGAAAAGTGTAATCAGAGTCTGTGAAAAGGGTCTATTATGGGCAAAAATGATCAATTTGGTTGGATTAAACAACCAAACTAAAAAAAAACAGAATTTATGAACATTTAAATGTAGATATTCAATCTCTAATTTTTATAAAAGGTGTAACTTATCATTTTAGAAATTGCTTATTTAATAGTAATGCTGGTAAAACAGGTTTTATTTGTTTTATTTAGCATTTTATGGGCCTTTTTAATTTTTAATGATTGATGTATGTTGAATTTATTGATTCATTTATTTATTTAATGATTATTTATTTGCTTAAAATAAAGAAGACAAAATTGTCTGATAATAACCAACCACTTAGTTGTTAATCATATTAAAACCACTTCTCACTTCACTTCTGTGGGGTCTACAGTATGTCATTTTGATGTGATTAATACATTTTTCATATTTAACCAGTTTATGCCTAATTCCCATATGCTCAAAAATAATGTACGTTATGATACCATACAAATTGTATGTATTTTATGTGAACTTCAAAATGACAGTTTTGATTGAATTTTTTTAAAAGCAAAGTACAATTCAAAGTTAACACGAAGTCATGTTTTGTTATTGTCCCGTGTTAATATTTACACCTAAATGTCATTGTACTTCTCTCAAATACATCCATATTTCATTTGCTTCCTCTCTTGTCTCTCCGCTCTAGTGGTCATTATGGCATCTGGTTTACTGGTTTACCCCTTCGGTCTCAACTCCAACCTGGTCAAGTCTTTCTGTGGAGACTCGGACATCTACTACGCCGGGGAGTGTCAGATAGGATGGGGCTACATGCTGGCTATCGTAGGTGTCATGCTCACCCTCTTCCTGCCCTTTTTCGCCAAGTACGCCCCCAAAGAGCAGCTGTCACCCACCCCACTGCCCACTCTTTTATAGAGCACTAAAGACCACCACCTACAATATTCAACCTGCTCAGCCATCATAAATAATTATTAAATGATCAAAGATTTGAGGTTGGACAGATTGCAAAGTCTCAGCATCATTTGCCGTGGTTGGTAATGATGTCATGAAGATGATGTTGCTCTGGAGCAGAACTCAAGACCCTTCATCCCTTCTATTCTCATTGTTTTTGTTTTTTAGTGTCTTCCTTAATTCAATACGGTCTTTTTTTTTTTCAGGTGAAAAATTTGTTTATATGGATTTTGCTCTTTCTTTCCCTTCTTTCTAATTTATTTTCAAGCTCTGTTCTTGATTGAAGACCTCTTAAGGACTAACTACTGAAAATATCGGACAATGGACCATGGGGCAAATTAGTATTTTTGAAATTTTGTTTGCAAGGATCAAAACCAAAAATAGCAAATTAAATGAAATTTGAGTTACAATTTCCAATGTTTTACTAAGACTTGTCAGCATGCAATGAAAGGATAACAAAAACAAATGGTGGGCCCTTCTTAAATGGACTTCTTCTAAAGGATCCAACAGGTTTCAAGGAACCGTTTCATCGAGTTCATTGAGAGAAACTCAACTCAAACTCAATAAATCTGACAGTCGGAATGTTTCTAGCACCTGATATAGTACCTATTCAAGGACCAACACTGTGGCTTAAGTAAACTGAAACATTTTTATCCGCCGTACGAGTTTTCATTTACGGGCATCTGTCTGAATTTTCTTCATTTTGTTTCTCATAACTGCGTGAGGGCCATTAAGGAACTGTATTGACAGTATGGACCAGGCCGTTGCTTCAGACTGCCATGGATGGACCACAAGCATGGACTTTTCTCAGCTGTATGTGAAAGTGAAATGATCCCACAAGTAAAACCATTTGTTTTCCCAAACTGAGTGAACAGGATTTGTTGTGAAGTCTCCTTTTGCGTTCTTTACTGTAACACCTACTAGTACTGAATTATTCAGGATTACACAAATCAGGAGCAAGGCTGTTCTTAGTTAAAGTTGGGCTTAGTTAACACTGAGACACTACGTTCTGGAAAATACCAACTTCTAACCAACTTGTGCCTTTTGACCATTGCTAAGACTTAAGTACCTTTCATCAGGTAATCTACTTCTAAAACATTTTGTAAATGCTTTCTTGATGGATTAACATTGTGTGATTATTTCTGTACGTCGCCATCTTTAATGATGATTAGTTTTAGCTGAACGTTTTTAATGTTGGCACCTCTTGCCAAGCTGATGGCCTGATTTGTTTTGAAGGGGTTGCAAAAAAGAACAAAACGATGAAAGCTAAATTAGCAAGTCACTGAACAAGACAGGACGACCAATTCAGTCCTGATTTGTCATGACAGATTTATGTATTTCTTTGGGAAATTGGGAAATGGGCTGTAACGATCAAATTAAGCTAGTGTGCTTTTGCATTTACACTTGGCACAGCAATACGGTGAAGCTAAAGCTTCTACTTGGATCATTCCATATTGCACTTGGCTCACTTTTGCTGTTGTGTTGATCCATTTGTGTGTTGTGTTCAGACTGGCTAAAACATTGGCACTCAACTGCCCTCTTGCATAGATTTAACACCAAATTCTATTATGATATAGATGTGCTGACAGTGAAACAAACCCATTCCCCCTGAAGATGTGTGTACTTGTAACTGTTAAGGGTAGCTGAGGCTCAGACTTTAAACTGGTGTGAGATGTCAAATATAACAGGCCCTTTAAATGTGTTTATGCAGGAGTACACTGGCATCATCCGATTGCCTTGACGGTGATGGCAACTTGCATTCTTGAGTTCTTGTATGTAAAGTCTGACCACAGGTAGATCTTAGATCTTGTAGATTAGTGCTGTGGGTTTCCCACTGTGTTTTGGATGTAAATAATTCTGTAACATGGCATCCTGATGGTTGGTTCCCTTTTGAAAGATATATTTTGCGATGTTACCTCATCATTGTGTTTGTTTAACCTTTGAAAACGTTAACAAATTGCTGTTATGTGTTTCTTCTTTGTAATAAAGCATTTCATAAACTTAGCAGATTGATGTATTTTGAATGAAGACACCAACAAATCTTTAAAAACAATATTTCCCAAGTTTGGGAATGGAGTACAAATAGTTTTTTTTTTAAATGCAACAATTAACAATAATGTATAAATTAGAACTCAAATATGCACACAAATTTGAATAAATACAAAATAAATATATTATCACAAATTTAAATAAACTATGTATGCATGGGAACTCAATTTATATCCATCTAAATTATAACTCAAGATTATATATGCATATAAATTAGAACTAAAATATTTTGAATGAATTTTAAATTACATTTTAAATTTAATCGAGATGATATAGAAATTAGAAATATTTTAAATGCATATCAATTAAAATAAATCAAATATTATTAATGCATCTAATTTGCAAAGTGAATCAAAATCTCCAGATACAGATCACAGATTTAAAACGGTTTTACATTCACTGACCATTATAGGTCATTCTTTAACTACTTCACAACTAAACCAAAACCAACCCTAACCTCAGTATAAGTCTGAGCTAGTTTAATCTTTCTACTGTTACTCACTCGATCCACATCACATTTCACTGAGAGCCAGCACCACATCCCTCATTTTTGCATCTGACACTCTCACAGCCTCCAGGGCATTCCTTTGCTCTGACAGTGAAGCAGCTCGGACTGACACACAAGTCATTGTGTCTTTTTGCCTGTCGTAGTTTCCAACGCAGCGATGCACCTGACCTCTGATCAGTCTGGGCAGTGTCTGATCCTGAAGAACAAATACACAATGACTTGAACATAAAGGTTTATGGTGTCTCTACCACTGCCAACATCACATAACAATGTGAAGTCATAATGGTCTATCTTATTTGAAAAATAGAAAAATGCGCAATGGAAAATAAGTGGGTGTCATAAACTAGAGAGAGCAACTTGTCTCTTTAATTGTTTCTTCAGATCTGTATCTGTAATGTCATCTCTGATATAAACCAAATACTTCAATATTAAAAAAAAAAAACTTTCATATTTAAATATATATATATTTTTTTTTTTATATATTTTGGGAAATTACTGCCAACTACAGTAATACTGTGGTGTGATCAGAAGAGGTACAGACCATTTTATGATTTTTTTTTTTTTATTTGATAATTTTTTGAGCTTGACAGCCAAGGTAACTTTTAATTTTCCTTTCATGGAAGAAGAAAGTCATACAGATTTGAAACATGTCAGTATGTAAATAATGACAGTTTTCATTTTTGGGAGAATTATTCCTTTAAATCATCTTCATGCTAAGTGGAACTTAGAAATATAAAATACAATTAATGTAAAAATAAGAAATATATATATACACACACAACCATTCAAACACTTAGGGTTTAATGTTTGTGAAAGAAGTCTCTTATGCTTACCAAGGCTGCATTTATATGATCAAAAATACAGTAAAAAGAGTAATATTATAATGAAATATTGCAATTTAAAATAACCATTTTGTATTTTATTATATTGTAAATGTAACTGATTCCTGTGATGGGAAAGATGAATTTTCAGCAGCCACTATTCCAGTCTTCTGTGTCACATGATCCTTTCTAAATCATTCTAATATGTGACCCTGGACCACAAAACCAGTCATAACGGTCTATTTTTTTAACATTTAGATTTATACACCATCTGAAAGCTGAATAAATAAGCTTTCCATTCTTGTATGGTTTGTTAGAATAGGACAATATTTGGCTAAGATACAACTACCTGAAAATCTGGACTCTGAGGGTGCAAAAAATCTAAATACTGAGAAAATCGCCTTTAAAGTTGTCCAAATGAAGTTCTTACCAATACATATTACTAATCAAAAATTAAGTTTTGATATATTTACTGTTGGAAATTTACAAAGTATCTTCATGGAATATGATCTTTACTTAATATCCTAATGATTTTTGGCAAAAAAGAAAAGTCTATCATTTTGACCTATACAATGTATTTTTGGCTATTGCTACAAATATACCCCAGCGACTTAAGACTGGTTTTGTGCTGAGGTCAAATGTGCTCAGGGTCACATATGCTGATTTGATGTTCAAGAAACATTTCTTATTATTATCAATGTTGGAAATAGTAGTGCTGCTTAATATTTTTGTGGAAACTTTAATTAATTTTTTCAGCATTTTTTAAAGACTAGAAAGTATGATTAAAAACAGTATTTGATGTTTTTGTAACATTATTCAATCTAATGTTTCCTTACCAACCCCAAACGTTTGAATGGTAGTGTATTTAATAAAAATAATAATAATAATATAAAATGATACAATTGTAAAAATGCATGTTACAGGGAGGAAGAAAAGATGCACCTCTGGAAGAAAACCAATTTTCTCAGACTCACATTTTCATAGTAAAGGCAGTGGACCACCTCTTTACCATCCCTCATGAGAAATTTCTTTGCTCCGTGTTCTCCAACTGTAACTGCAGAGTCCAGTGCAGCTGTAAAGAGAGACAGGACTGTTAGACACAGATTTAAATCAAGGGGACCGCATGTGTGATAGTCTCCTCACCAAACATCTCAAACAGCATTGGTACTCTGTTCTTGTACTGGCTCCAGTGCTTCATGCCTTCAATAACAGCAGTAATAACATGCAGCAATGTCTCATGAGGGGGCTTCTATCCAGCAGGAGAGAGTGTAAATCAGAAATGTTAGCCGAACAAATAAAACAACATTTTATACTGTGAGGCAGAAAATATTTGAAAAAAAAGCAGTACACAAAAATGCTGCAGGTTTGCAGCATTGCAGTAAAGTAGAATAGACTGTTTTTTTATATGTTAATATGTTTTTAATATGAATGTGACTTGCCCCTACACACACCTGCTGCTGAGGGGTGGTCTGGACACTCGAGGTGTCCATCTTTTCTTTTGCCCACATTCCACTGGCTGATTGTCCAACAGGTCTGAAGTTCCCCTTTCCAATGTAAATCTGAGCTCCAGGGCCCTGAGTGCTTGCTGCTGCAGGGGTACAGTGCTGGGGACTGTACGGCATTCTGGGGGAATTTGCCGGCCTGTTAAATGACTGTTGATTCTGGATGCTGCTGGACCATCTGGGCTGGCCGAGTGAAACTGAGCTGCTCCTTGGAAAACCACCATGAAGCTGGGATCCAACTGCTGGCATCGAATCCTGTCTCACTGGAGGCCTCTGTTGCCCTGTCTGTGACCTGGAGGTAAAATGGTGACAAATACAAAATGTAATGTCACAAATGTTTTTCAGGATAACTAAAAATGTGCATAATGTGGTAAAACTTCTAAACAAACTTCAAAATATTTAATTATAATTATAAGTTAATCAACTTGACTACGTACTGAGGTTAGGTTAAACTTTACAACAAGGTTCGAATATATAACATGCATTACCTAACCTTAACTAACAATGAATGGTACATTCGTTACAGTATTTATTCATCTTTGATAATGTTAGTTAATAAAAATACAGCTGTTCATGTTAGCTCAAGTCAAATATTAACAGATACAAATTTTGTATTATTAGATTTTTTTTTAAATAATGTATTAGAATATGTTGAAATGAACATGAACTTAGATTAATAAATGATTGACAAATATTTGCATTGTTAGTTTATGTTAACTAATGTAGATAAAGGAATAGTTCACCCAAAAAAATAACATTTTCTGAATATGTATTCATCCTCAGGCCAGGTTTCAATAATTAATTCTGACCAAAATACAAGTCCATAATTCATAATAATGTTTCCTCCTCCAGTGAAAAAGACCATTCCCTGTTGTCCTCTCACCTCAAAATCCACCAACATTTTGTTTAGAACTGTTTTATACTGTTCTCACTTGTAAACACAGCTTGATCAGTGCATATTTCTCTCCTGATTCAGATGAGACAACTTTTTCACTAGAGAAATTTATATTATGGATAGAATACTCATAGTTTAGGTAGAGGCAACAGTTTGAAGTTAAAAACACCTCAATGATGATTCATTTCTTACAAATATGCAGCTTTTCGCATCAAGTCGTTGATTTGATGGACTGGAGTCATGAAGATTACTTGTGGATTTTTGTGATGTTTTTATCAGCTGTTTGGACTCTCATTCTGACGGCACCCATTCATTGCAGAGATCCATTGGTGAGCAAGTGATGTAATGCCAAACTTCTCCAAATTTTGGATGGACTGAGGATAAGTACATTTTCACCAAATTTCCATTTTGGGTGAACTATTCCTTTCAAGTGTTACCTAAGGTTACTTAAATATTATATAAGTGAATCTTAAGGCTCAGGTCAGGAAGAAATAGCTTCTTTACAGTCTTCTACAAGACCTTTCTGGTATGTAGTCATTATTTCTTAGCATAAGTTGAGTACCAGACATAGGCAGGTTTTTTTGGGTGAGGTAAAGGTGCATATCCTCGTCCCGCCACACCAGGTGAAGGAGCAGATCTCATGCTGGCTTGCTGTGATGAAAGGTAGGCTCCCTGGTTCCACTGACCGCTCTGACCCAAAGCTAAAGAGAAACCTTGGGTTATATTTTAAAAATCATAATAACGAAAGACAGAAAATGATTTTATTATAAGAAATGTAAATGAATAATGTATAATAATTAATAATTCCAACTCGCAATATATTTCTAGCTTTACTCACATACATACAGTACATTCACATAAAGCGATATATATATGTATATACTAAATACCAATTCTCAACTGTTTGATAGTTAATATCGTCACCAATGACGATAAAACTATCCTATAACCCAGCTCTAAACTGCGCAATTATTTAAAATAGTTAGTTTTATTTATAATAGTCATTTCCAAATTAACATTTCTGTAAAGCTGCTTTAAAAAATGTGTATTGTGAAAAGTGCTACACAAATAAATAACTTGACTTAATCTGTAAATATAACCTATGAGCTGTCTACTGTCAAGATAAAAAAATAAATAAAAAATAATAATATATATATATATAATGTGCAGGCGTAATTTATTTAAAATTTTACTTTGAATAAATAAAAACTGTTAATTTAGATGCTTCCACATTAAGCACAACTTAAAGTTACCTGACAAATAATTTCAGTGTGTTATAGTGTAACATAATCACCATGAATTAGAAAAGTAAATATCTGACATCTGAACATTGAAACAAAGTGCTGAATCAGGATTTGAGTGGAAATTTCAGTGGAAATACATACGGGGAAGAGCGGAGGAGGAAGAGGAGGGGGTTTGTGTCTCGTTGTAGTGGCTGGTAGTGAAGAGATCACTCTCTGAGGGATTAGACGTCAAAGGCAGCCTGCTCCTTTTCCTTTGATTAAACAGAGGCACGGAGAGACAGCCTGCAGAAAGTCAAAACTCTGCTTTGATTTCAGGCTCCAGCAACCTGAATAACGCTTTAACTGCAGCTACGTGTTGTATTAGCAGATAAGCAGTTCAATTATTTTGACGGATTTGGCAAATTTATGTGCAGGGAGGTCCCTGAAAATAATATTTATTCAATTGCAAGTAGTTAGCTAGATTATTTTGATAGATGGCAGACTTTCCAACTAATCCAACTCTTATTGTCTGTCGTGTATTTCCAACCAAGTAACACAAGCATATAATAGACAGCAAATCCTACCTGCAGTTGGTCTCTGGTTTTCATTCCTCCACATCCCGACAAATCACTTCTCACACTGACTGAGAGTTAACAATATTATTGTGTAAAAGTTAAACAATAATTCATTGTCATTATTCATTGCCAATTATTCGTAAACTTTTATATGTAACGTTATATCAGTTAGCAGTTGCATTAGGGGGCCTGCTTTCTCTTGTTAACAGTTGTCCTAATGTATGTCCTTTTCTGTCTATTTCTTTTTTCACTCTCTCAACTCAGCTCAAAATCACAAGTATTGTTGAAATATTAAGTAAAAATTACTTTGTATGTTATACTTAAGCTGATTTTTTTTTAGGATTTGCTAAATTGATTTTGCTAATGGTAAAAGGTCCTTCATGTGCTAATCAAAATGTGCTTACCAGTACGAAATGTCGTCAATGAAGTGAAAAGATGTGAATACGAAGCGCTTATTCAGTAGTTTAAGGCGTGTCTGTGGTTTAACCCCATATATTAATTATTTAATGTCATTACATTTTTTTGTACGTTTTGGCGCGAGTGGCGCGTGCGCTAGTGAACTGAACTCTGAGTCATATCCACGAATCGGTTCTTTCGAACAGTTCGTTTCAAAGAGCTAGGAATTAAAAACTGATTCAGCGGTTCTTTCCACATAACGGCCCGGTTTCACAGACGGGGCTTAGTTTATACCAGGACTAGGCCTTTAAATTAAGATATTTAAAGCAGCTTTTATAAAAATGCCTTAGAAAAAAATGTTACATGTGTGCATCTTGAGACAGAACAATGGCACTGACATATTTTAAGATATGTCAGGGCAAGATATTTTCAGTTGAGACAGCTCAAACATGCATTTTAGTCTGGAACTAGCCGCCCTTAAGCCTTGTCTGTGAAACCAGGGGCATATGTCTCATAAATACTGTCATCTCATTTGTAAACAAGTACTCATAAGAAAAAAGAGAAAATTTGGGACAAAACTTGTTAGGGGCAAAATTGTTGGTTAGAGACAGAAATTAGGCCTATGCCAAGAGGCAACTTATAATTATTTACACACAGTAAATCTTTGTGCGAATTTTATGATATATTTTCATATTTTAGGGTTACAAGCCATGTGTTTGGATAGGGTAAAACGATAAATTAATTTAAAATAAATAAATCTAAATAATAAATTATGAAGACTTTTTTGATGTGATCTTGATGTGACAGTATAACAAACATATTGTTTTAATAAAAAATCATCCACTGAGACAAACAGATCAATCAAAACATTGCTCTGTTATTACACTTTTTTCTACCATTTTATTAATGTTCTGTTGTTCTGAGATTTAGAGATTAATGTATTTGAATCTGTTCTCCTGTTTACATCTATTTACATTATACTATCATCTTCTATTGTCATCATTCCTTCTATTGTCTGGTTGGAAACAGCTAAGTAGTGTGTTACTGTCAGAAATTAGATTTCTCACTATAGTTTGTCACCTCAGAGAATTCATATAGCCTACACAAAATAGCTTGCTCTGATCCACTGAATTATCCTCTGGTTTACATGCATGATTATGCAAATTACAAAGAAATTAACATGTTGTGCTCCTGGAGCTGTTTTAGTTACCGGAGTGATATACGTCTGAATGATGAAAAGTCCTATAAGTTTTGAGGGTAAGAGCAGTGCTGCTGGAAATATGATAAATTCATATAATATCTAGCAAATACAGCAAAAAAATAAAAAATAGCAAAGGGTTTTACATGGAATTAAAGTATACATTTCAGTGTATAAGAAAGTATGGATGACCCGTTCAGGTGCTTATAGTGCAAAGAAACAAAAAGAATAATTTTGATACATTAAATCATAGGGTGTCAAATTCAGTTCCTGCAGAGCAGCAAAGTTAATGAAGGACTAAATGACTCATTCATTCAAACAGTCATTTGACGCCACCTACTGGTTTGGTTTCATATTTAAAACTATCATTTCATTTTTCCCAACATTTCTTATTTGTATGTTTACAAAATATTTAAAACATTAATCTTATAAAATTCTTTATGCATTCGAAATTTTGCAGTGTAAATGCATTTATGGCACCTCAGCTTCATCAAACAGACTGTGTAAATACATCTAACGCCACTTCAGATGCAGCTTCTGTGTTTCCTGCAGTGGAAAGTTTGTTGATACTGATTTCATTTGAATGGTTAGGGTTAGGGCTCCAACCCTAATTTAGCACACCTGAACCACTTAATCAAGGTCCCTTCTGGATTACTAGAAACTTCCAGGCATCTGTTTTGGAGCTCGGCAGGACAGTGGCCCTCCAAGGACCAGAGGTTTGCACATTAAATAATAAATGATGCATTAAATTTATCAAAAAATAAAGACATTTAAAATGTTACAAATTATTTCTGTTTAACAAACAGATGATGTTGAATTTTCCATTCATTAAAGAAAAAATGTATCATGATTTCCACAAAAATATTAAGCAAAAACTATTTTCATCACAAAAGAAGAGAAGTTAATTACTTAAACACAATTGCTGTCAAATACCTATAGCCCATATAAGATTTGAATAGGCTATTTAAATGCTTGTAGATGGTTTATATGTAAATCATGTCAAATAAGCTGTCAAAGACAGTCCTTAGGCACAGAATTCACACTCTGATGGCTAGGACTAAACTCCACACTCTAAAGATATTAAATCTCTAGGACTTCATATTCAAGTAACATTTACGGTCCTAAATATATCCAAGCACATATGTATGTTATACTAAAGTAAATGAAGCCATTGCTGTGAATACACTGTGAATAAACAAAAAAAATGTTCTGCTTTTGCATTTTATGATCACCTCAAGACACATCATACATTCAAGGCACAAATGCAAATCACATGGAAAACACAAACAAATGATTAATACTGCGCCTATAGAATATCTGCTATATAAGTATGGTTTTTGCTGCATGTGAAGTATCATCAGTGCTTGAGTTGAACATCTTGGTAGTTGACTGTGGGTGAACAGGTACAGTAACTCTTACAATCAACTTTCACTCACTTTCTAAATGTGATTGGTATTTGGTTGATGTGTTTATTTGAAAGGAACTTGACCGAAGATGGATTTAGAGAATAAAGTGGCTGTGGTGACTGGAGGTGCTCAGGGTTTGGGCAGAGCCTTTGTCGAAATACTCCTAAAAAAGGGGTCAAATGTAATCAGTCTTCTTGTTAGCTTGCATGTGTGTAAATGTCAGTCAACCAGCTTCTGCGACATTTTACTTCTACTAATACTACACCATAGTATACTGAACTACAGAATCATTTTGATTACAGGTGGCCTTCATTGACGTGAATGAACCACGAGGAAAAGAGTTAAAGGCTGCGCTTGCCGAAGAATATGGACCTGACAGGGTTGAATTTTACGCTGCGGATGTCTCATCTAAGGAGGAATTTATAGGTATTTGAAGATTTAGTCTTAAGATTTTAGTCTTTTAATTTGTCTGGGAATAAAGACATAACATCAGCAGATTTTCTTTTCAGGAGCTTTTCAGAAAATTGTGGACAGGTTTGGCCACATCGACATTATGTACAACAATGCAGGGGTTGTCAAAGAAAATGACTGGGAGAAAACCATTGCCATAAATATGGTATGATTTTAATAAGGCCTCAGTTCATCTGTCTGTCTGTCTGTTCATCGGGCAACATGTTGAACTGTTCATGTGGCTTTTATAGTCTGGGCTGGTGAGGGGAACATATCTGGCTCTGCAGTACATGAAGGAAAATCCTGATAGCAAAGGCGCAATTATCAACATATCATCTACTGCAGGTTTGGAACTTAATACACTAAATTAGTCAATAACATTTTTTGTATAATATTTATTTGATAAAATGCATTTATTTGATTGAAAATACAGCAAAAACAGTAACATTGAGAGATATTACAACTGAAAATAACTGTTTTCTAGTTTAATATATTTTAAAATGTAATTTATTTCTGTGATGAAAGCTGAATTTTCAACAGCCATTACTCCAGTCTTCATTGTCACATGATCCTTTAGAAATCATTCTAATATACTGACTTTTTTTGCTCAAGAAACTCTTACATTTTTATTTTTATCAATGTTGAAAACAGTTGTGGAAACAGTGATACACTTCCATTCAAAAGTTTAGGGTTAGTAAGTTTTTTTTATTTTTATTAAAAAAATTAAATAAATTAATACTTTTATTCAACAGTGTTGCATTGAATTAAAGGGGTCATATGATGCTTTTTTAAAGATCATTATTTTGTGTATTTGGTGTAACATCACTGACTACAATAAAGACATTTATAATATTACAAAAGATTTCTATTTTACAAATAAATACTGTTTAATTTTTATTCATTAAAGGAAAAAATGCATAATGATTTCCACAAAAATGTTAAACAGCAAAAACTATTTTCAACATTGATAATAAGAACCATTAATAAAATAACTAATAATAACTGAAATAATTGAGCACCAGATCAGCCAATTAGAATGATTTCTGAAGGATCATGTGACACTGAAGACTGGAGTAATAACTGTATGACTGCTGAAAATTCAGCTTTGCCAAGACAGACATTAATTACAATTAAAATAGAAAAGTTATTTTAAATTGTAACAATATTTCACAATATTACTGATTTTTTTCTGCAATTAAATCAATATCAAATAATTGCAGATATATATACACACATGTAGCTACACACACAGTATATGTATATACGTATACTCAACTTTTTTTCATATTGGCCACAGGTCTGTGGTTTGTGCCAACAGCGCCCATCTACACAGCGACTAAATATGCAGTGGTGGGATTCAGCCGTGCTATTGCAGTATGTTTAGTAATATATAAAGAATACAAGTTTTTTTACATTTGTAATATAATGACAGCAATAACTCACATGAACTTAAAGCCTCGATAGATAATGAGGAGTACATCTCTTGCTAACAATAAGGTAGATTTGATTAATTTTGTATGTTTAACAGGCTGTTGCTATGAAGTCCAACCTTGGGTTGAGGATCAACACTCTTTGTCCAGGTGTGGTGAAGACTAACCTGCTGTCCTCTTCTAATATAGAGGACCATTTTGGACAGTTTTCACAACTAGAGGAAATGAAGGAGATGGTTCTGGAAAGAAATGACTTTGTGGAGTGAGTTAACAGTCCGTATACTTTTCAGTAGATTTTGCAGTGAAAGTACTTCAATGTCATTGCTTTATTTATAGGCCTGAGGATGTTGCCAAGGCCTCCCTTATTCTTGTGACAGATGAAAACAAGAATGGAGAAATTCTGAAGATCGATGCTGATGGTACGGCATTCATATCCCTTCCTGAACCACCAGCCATGCGAAAGTAGCCAATCAGCTTTTTTCCCTGCCACAGCCATAACTTTCAGAGCTGATTCCTAATGTCAGATTAGAATTGAAATGTTAAAGGCTTTGCTCCTATAATTTTGCCTGGTTGAAAATGTACTAATCTTCCTCAGTTCTAGTTGGCAGTAGACAATAAGTAAACTTGATGCAGGCCTAATGTAAGGTCTTGACTAAATAAACGATCATGTGAAAGGTCTGTTTATATTATTCTTGGCTTTGCATGTGAGTGTTACAATGAATACTGAACACACTATATTTAAAAAAAAAAACCTTGAAAGAAGGTTCATAAAGGCTGCATTTATTTGATCAACAATACAAGTAAAAAAGCAATACTGTTAACTGTTTTCTAATCGAATGGATTTTAAAATGTAATTTATTTCTGTGATGGCAAAGCAGAATTTTCAGCAGCCGTTACTCCAGTTTTCAGTGTCACGTGATCCTTTAGAAATCATTCTAATATGCCGATTTGGTACAATATTTGTTGCTGTACCAAATCAGTTGCAAAAAGGTATTACAGTTGTCAAAATTCACTAATCAGTTCACTAATGTTTTAATTAATAGGTTAATTTCCATCTGAAATTAATGAAATAAAAAATAGCTAATTGAAATGGCTTGACCATCAAGTAGTACAAAATGTAGAGAGATTGATTGCATTGTGAAAACTGCTCAAATCGCTCAATACGTATTTTATTTATTTACTATTCATCAATATAAAGTGCTCCCGGTAAACGGTACAATTAATTATAGCTTATTAAATGCAAAAACAAATATAAACTGTCAATACTTTAATCCTGGCCAATATTGTGTGTCTCTGTGGGTCGGTCGATACGGTAGATAAACTCAGCGGGCAGGAAGTATCCCAGGTACTCCACTGTGTTTGGGGTGGTGTCTATGTAGTAATGGCCCCCCTCACCATGGTGACTGAAGCCATGCGTATGCTCCACTCTCAGGTCAAGACCCTGTGAATTGAGAACAACAGAAATTAGTTGATATTAAATATTTAGAGAAGAATAATATTGTCAGTGAAATGGATGGCAATATTAAATTTTCAGTATGACACGGTGGGTTGGTACTCACTGGGTCTCGGGACACCATGACAGTTTGAAAGATCAGTGGAGCACTGACTTCAAAATGTCTGAGCCAGTTACTGACATCCTCAATGGAGTTTAGAGGGCAGGCGGAGAATTCAAGCGGCTTAACGACAGAGCAGTGAAAAGATTACACTTCCGTCACATCATTTCTGCTCTAACATTTTGAAGTTTAATCCTAGTTCAAGATGCTACTTTATTCTATAGAGTTTATCAGTGACTGCTTTATAGGTCCTACAAATGTCTATTTTTTAATTATGTTTTATTTTCTTACCATGATATGGATCTTTGCCTTCCCCTTCTGTATAACGAAAGTTCCCCCCAAGGCCATGCTCTTCTCCCCATAACATTCTTCCATGGTCTTTCTCATGCAGCTCACAAGACTGTCCTCTCCAGTCCTTCTGCAGGCTCTCACCTCAATGACCTGCAATGGAAGTCTCGTTACTGTTTGATAATAATGTTGTGTATCGAGAATGTTTGTTGTATGTGAAAACTGATAAATGAATAATAATACATACAGTACCATTCAAATGTTTGGGGTCAGTAAGATTTTTTAAAAGATATTGATTGTTTTATTCTGCATTGTGTATTCACATAAAATGTTAAGCTCATTAAAAAGTGACATAAAAGAAATGTATAACGGTACATTCACCCGGGGCGTCGGCGTCGATGCTTGATGGAGGGTGTGTCTGGTGCTGAACAGCCAATCACATTATTTTTCTGGTGTTGCATGAACGCGATTGGCTAGCATCTGCGCTAGGGTATAAGGCGATGTGATTGGCTGATACCTGCGTTGGCGTTTGAAAAGTTTTTTAACTTCTGCCGCGATATGTCAGAAATATTCTGCAGCAGTAACACTGTTTTGCATGCTCTGGCGCTAAAGTTAGCATGAAACTCCTGCTTTTTTTCAGAAAATATATAACGTTAATGCACATCAGCAACTCACCAAGAACACCAACAATCTCAGACACCTTGGTTCACGCATAATTTGTTTTATTTAAGGGACACGTCGTATATTATTGGGAAAACCGCCACAGCAATAATCAACCTCTCCTCCATTTTGCTTGGGAACTAATGTGGTCAGTGTTGCCAAGTAATTTTCAGGGGAAGTTGCTAAAGGAAGGTTGATCTGTTGCTAAAAGTTGCTAAATGATGTTGTGATGTCATTGAGGGATGACGTCATTACGTAATCACGACGCAAAATTGTCAAATCTCAGCAAAAACATATATTTTTATATGTTCATTTAGATTTGTTCGTAATAATATAAATGAATAATATAATATTAAAATATAAATAACAATTTTTAAATACACTGAATTATCGAAAGCTTACACATTTTTGAACGATTACAATTTAAGTTTTTTTATTATTATTTTTAGCTAGTAAACAAGTAAAACTACAAATTCTGAACAATTACACTTTTAAGCAGTGTATTGGTAGTTAGTTAGTATGCTACACTAAGAAAAGTCTGTAAAAAAAATTGTGCACAATGTACTATGTTAATATGAAGGAATTTTCTGTATTGATTTTTCCACGGGTTCTTTTTTTACCTGCATTTTTAATTACGCATTTTCGGGTTACAACGGATAATGTCCTGGAAAATTACTAGCACCTTTTCCATTTTTCTACATATTTTTCTGAAAAATATGAAGAAAATTGGAAGAAAAAGTTGCTAGGGTAGTCTGAAAAGTTGCTTAATGTAGCAACAAAATTGCTAAGTTGGCAACACTGAATGTGGTCAGAACCAGAGTTTACAGGGCTGCGTTCTCTGGAATCCTCTCAAGCGGTGGACTTCTACATTCCGATTGGTTGCCGCCGAACCGCGTCATAGCTCATTACCATAAAGTTGACCTGATTTCAACTCTCATCAACGCTCTCAACGTCCAAGACGCGCCGCGCCGCTGCTCGATGCTGGCTCACATTGAAAACGAATGACTTCCGGTCACTTTGACGCTCTCGACGGCGGCGGTGTGAACGCACAGTAACGGACCCAACGCGATGCGACGGATCCACAATTAATTTCTGCAATAGGGTATATGTCGAACATCACCTGACCAAACTCGGAAAACAGGTCTCATTGCTTCCGCTTGTCGGAGAACGTGTTAACAGCCGTATTAAATAATAGCCATATCTATGGACTTTTAAGATAATCAGTTAAACCAACTAGCTGTTTTTATTGCTGACGTTTTATTCAATTTTTATATCTAAATGTGAAAGAATAAAAATAAAAAAAACTTTTAGATATCAGTCTGCATATGTGATGGACATTGGTTATGATCATCATTGGTATCTACTTTGAAGGCATCTTGAGTAAAACTGCTTCATATTTAACTAAGCATATGCAAAACGCTTGAACCGGAAGCGACGAGACCCGGTTAACAGAATACGGAAGTCTGTTGCGCATAACCCCTATACTTGACGTCACGTCACTCAATTCAAAGTAAAGGATAGGCGTTGACGCTGATGCCCCGTGTGAATGTACCGCAATGTTACAGTAGATTTTATTTCACATAAATGCTGTTCTTTTGAATTTTCTATTTATCAAAGAATCCTGAAAAATGTATTACAGTTTCCACAAAAATATCAAGCAGAAAACAGTTTTTAACATTGATGATAATACTAAGAATTTTTTCTTGAGCACCGAATCAGCATATTAGAATGATGTTGAAGGATCATGCGACACTAAAGACTGGCTGCTGAAAATTCAGCTTTGTCGTTACATTTCATTTCAGTACATTTGAAAATATATTCAAATTAAGTTATTTAGAATTGTAATAATACTTCACAAAATTATTATTTTTACTGTATTTTTAATCGAGATAAATGTGGCCTTGGTGAACAAGACTTATTTAAAAAAAAAAAAAAATCCCTAAACTTTTGAACAGTATTGTGAAAATATTCAATAAATGCATTTCAAGTGGTTTTGTTTTATGTAATTAGTAATTAGTAAAATCTCACTCCTGATAACCGTTTCATCATTTATGGCCATTACCAGAGGAAATACTTCATGTAATAACCAGAAATCACAGTATTGGGATGTATAGAGCCGCAATTCTGTCAGTGTGATATGAAAGCAAAGTCTCTATGGTTCTTACCTTTCCAGGTTTGCCCTCACATGCATAAAGGTTTCCAAGGAGGCCAAAGTCACAGTCATGGAACCTGTCGCTGTATTTCTCCTGCAGACAGTTTCCATCCACTGGGTTGATGGATGAAAAATAACTGGCATTCACTGCAGGTCTTCCTTCAGCTTCAGTCAGCACCAGAGGCATTAACTATGAAAAAACAGGACAGATACAGTATTATAAACCCCACTGGACTCCACATTAATCAAAAAAGCAGTGGATTTAAAAGAAAAATATGTTTTGTAGTGACATGATTTGTTTTTTGTTGATAAGGTTGACATGACAGTTTTGGACTTTATACAGAAAATTATCACCATATGTAGCAATTTTCGTTTACTGATGCCATTGCAAATTCACATCAGTTTTATTTCTTTCATTCATTTATTTTTTTTACAATTTCAATTCATTTCATTAGGGTCTGAACATTTTAATGTGGAAAAACTTAATGCTGCTTGTTTTAGTGCAGCAATACAGACCTCTCCATTCATCCCGACTGTCTTGCAGGAAACAGCACCAGCACCAAGAAAAAATCCACCAGGCAGCTCCACCTCCTTGGACACAGTGTTCATGTTGTACACCTTACAGGGGAAAGCTTGCATCGGTTACAAATGTGTTGATGACAGTTACATTTACAGTTTATTAACACACCTTGTCCGGTTTGGCCAGAGGAATCAGATAGGGTACGCCTCCCACATCAGTAATACGAGGTTTGCCACACAGGCCTAATAAAAGAGTAACGAGTGTTGTTCAAAGAGCCTGTAACACCTTGAAATACCATTATATGAAATACTATTTGTACTCACCCTTGACAGGAAACCCAAAAGGCTCTTGTGTAAGATCTGGACAGTCAGTGACAGACACTTTTACATCAGAAAAATTCTTATTCAGTCCTGACTGCAGCACTGTAACACAAACACACATAAATATATTAGTTACAATGAAGAAATGTATGCCCAGCTGCAAACAACCCCTTTAGAACACAAAATCCTAAGTAAAATTCTTGTAAGGACATCATTGACAGGGTAACTTAAAAGAGCACTCAGTAAATTGTAGTTCATGTTTAGCTCCCAATAGTACAATGGACTTTATACTGACATCTTTAGGACTGAATGCATTAAAGGGGTCATATTGTGTATTTGGTGTAATGAAATGTGTTTATGCGGTTTAAAGTAAAAAAAAACACATTATTTTTCACATCC